TACAGCCAGTGCCTCTGCAGCTCCTCCCTATCTAGCCCCCCATTTCCCTGGCACTTCCACCCCTCCCACATCCCTGCACCCCATTCCCTTTGCAACCCCTCTCACATCCCCACATCCCAGGCTACAGCTGATGCCTCTGCGCCCCTCCCCGCCCAGTCACAGCTCCTTGTGCACAGCCAGGTTGTCGTACTCCCCCTAGATGTGGTCCCGCTCCTTGCCCAGCAGATCGAGCTAGTTCAGGACTTCAGCCACCGGAAGTCCAAGTTTCTCAGCCCCATGGGCCAGACAGGCCGGGGTGCTGCAGTGCGTGGAGCCCTGGTATGAGTCCTGAATTCACACGGCCATCGGATATGCAAAGTGCAGGGCCCTTCTGCTCTCACTTATCCCAGTGTAACTCCGTCTGCTGGAACAGGGTAACTCCTGGGCTGCCTAAATGGCCCCGTCCCTTGCTGTGAATGTCCCTGAAGCTGCCACATTGGCACAACGTCTAGAACAGTTCCTATCTGAACAGGATGAATGGGCCGGGGAGGGCGTCGGATGGTTCTGCAGGAGAACAGCGAACGCAGGGGGGAGTAAGAGCCAGACTACAAATATCAGCAGAGGACAAAGCCGGCCTGTATGGTCCCCTGGCCTGGCACTCGGGCTGGCTGGAAAACAACAATTATTCCACTGGGTGAGAAACATTGAAATTTGATTCCTTTCTGAAAGCGGCATGAGCCCCCCTCGCCCCAAGTGTGGCCTGGTGGTTCTGGAGCCCACCTGTGACGTAGGAGACCCAGCTCCACGTCCCTGCTTTGCCTGAGGTGGAGTCTGACTTGTTCAGTCTCTCCTGTCAGAGATCTGCCATTTGTATAAATAATTAAAAATTCACTGGGCCAAAAGAGACGGATCCTGTGTTGTTTGCAGTGGGGCTGTAGCCGTGTCAGTCCCAGGACCTGAGAGAGAGACGGCTTGTGAGGCAATAGCTTTTATTGGACCAAACTCTACAGACAAGAAACACCGTCACCCGTGGGCAAGCACTTGTCACACAGCGATCACTCCATGTCTGATCTTTCCATCCTCGTCCTCAAAGGAAACCTGCCCGACAGCTTCCAAAGCCGAGCCTGGGCGCTTACATTCATAACTCTGCTGCACACCACAAACCATGGACTGAACGGGAACTTTTATCCCAGGACTCTCGCGCTCCCTGGGCTTGCCATGGCCCTTTCATGCCTCCCTCTTCTCCCCAGTCCCAGGTGAGGGATCCCACTGCTCGCTCCTGCCTGGCAGCAGCACAGAAGCCCTGGATTCAATCCTCCTCCTTCCCCTTCGCCCTGGCATCGGGAACCGGGAAGGAGGAACTCACCTGGGCTTGAATTCAGTGCCAGTGGCCCATTTCCAGGGCTGGCCTGGGTCCTCCAGAGGCAGATACAGGGATCAGGGAAACCGTCGTAGCGCAGCATGAAAACCCTGGGGAAATGAGGAAAGCAGAGGGAGAGCAGGTATCCAACCCTGCTCACTGGTCCCTGTCGCACACGGCTCTCTGCCCAGGGAGTCTGTGCTCTCTCACAGCAGGGCAGGGAGCCTCAAAGGGAAGGCTTAGTATGAAAGGAGGCCTCAGCCTTGTTACCGGAAATTGGGCCAGCTAGTAAGCTTAGGGAGGACTAATGACCCACCCGAGTTTGGCAGAAAGCAGCATGTTTATTATACTGATAGCTAAGCTCAAAGGGGGGGGTGTCACACTCACATACTCACGCTCCCAGGACAGGGACGGCACTGGAGATGTCAGGATCCTTCAAGGGAAGTGTCCCACAGCACAGCGATGGACGGTGCGATGAAAGCGAGTCTTCCCGAGGCACGATGGAATGCAACGCAGCGAACCAAAGGGCCTTCATGGGAGGTACAAGCTTGTGAGTGTAGTGCACTCCTGAGCACATGGCCCCTTCCCCTTTTAAGGACCCGCTCCTCATGGCTTGCGACTAGAGATGACTTGGCCATGTCTGGTTGGTCACACTCTTCTGATCTTCCAGCTGTTCAAGCAGCCCATTCATCCCACAAGCATTCCAGGAGAGTGGGGGAAAGCCACAGGTATTCAAAGAGGGAGAGGAGACAAAGGGGGGGGGGGAGAAGGTGTAACAGACCTTTTGAACATACAGGTTATACAGAGCATACAGATCACTGCTGCTCCTACAACAGATCCGTCTCTTTTGGCCCAGTGAATATTTAATTATTTATACAAAATTGCCGAGCTCCGACAGGAGAGACTGAGCAAGTCAGACTCCACCTCAGGCAGAACAGGGATGTGGAGCTGGGTCTCCTACATCACAGGTGGGCTCCAGAACCACCCGGCCAGGCTGGGGGTGAGGGGGGCTCATGCCGCTGTCAGAAAGGAACCACATTTAAATTTTTCTCACCCAGTGGAATAATTGTTGTTTTCCAGCCAGCCCAAGTGCCAGGCCAGGGGACCATACAGGCCGGCTTTGTCCTCCGCTGATATTTGTAGCCTGGCTCTTACTCCCCACTGCGTTCGCTGTTCTCCTGCAGAACCATCCGGCTCCCTCCCCGGCCCATTCATCCTGTTCAGATAGGAACCGTTCTAGAGGTTGTGCCAATGTGGGGCCATTCACAGCAAGGGAGGGGCCATTTAGACTAAAACATAGTCCAATGCTCTGGCTGCTGTTGTTCATCGTGCCACTGTTCACTCTATTGCTCTGCCCTAATGGCCCTGCACTGTCACCTTCTGTTGCCACCTGCCACTGTGACCTCTGAGTCGGTCTCTCGAGGTTCCACCAGCGCTCAGTGATTTCAGCTCTCAGTGGGGGAACCTCACTGCTAGTGCAGGCTGGGCCGTCTCTTCCACAGAAATGCCGTCCTGCAGCAGGTCTAAGCACTTAGACCTGTTATCAGTGATTTCAGCTCTAGTGGTCGGTTAACAAATCAAAAGACTCTCTATGAAGCCTACTCAGCTCTCTCTCTGAACAGGAGAGAGGGGCAGGTCAAATTGTGCCTGTGTCTCTTAGGCAGAGCCTACACCATCAAGCAAAACACCTGTGCCCCACCCTCTCTCTCTGTGCTAGGATCTGGCATCCAAACCTCCTGCTTAGCGAATGCAGTTCAGTTGAGGGTGACCAGAGCTTAATTTGTAACGAAAGAGGTGCCGGGGCTCAAGCAAGTTTTTTACTTTCATAACTGATGTGACCAGCCTAGAGGTGCCTGGGCTCAGCCCTGACAAGCCCTAGCACAAATAAAGCACTGGGGGAGACCCTCTCATTCAGTCAGGCTAAGTACAGTTCTGCTGCCCTTTACTCGGACAATCAGGAGAACAACATTTCATGTAATACTTAAGTGATTTGTGACCCAAAACCACCCAAAATCAATCACTTGTGCAGCACAGCTCTGTCTGCTGGATACCTCGGCAGAGTAGGTGTGTTCATGTAAATACAATCTGGTACTGAAGCCTTTCCCACCCCTGGCTCATCACTAGCTGTCGGGGAGAGCTCAGTCAGACCTTGCTTCCAAATCATAATGTTAAATTATAAGGTAGGCCAATATAGCCAAAATGAACATGCCGACATTGTCATAAATAACAGCTGTGTGAGGGAGCTGGTCTTTGTTCAGACTTTTCAAATCTATTGTGCTGTCTCAGGTACAATTTTCTCATATACTGTGTATGCTTTTAAAGAGTGTATTAATGTCTGGAAATTTGAATTGAAATTCAACCAACAAGTAAATTGGCAAGACTGCATGTAACTGGGAGGAGAGGGGGGAGGGATGTTGGGGAAATTCAGGGAGTGTGTACATCCTCCGGGTGGGGGTCTAGGGAAATCCCTGTGCACACATCAATAGGAACATGCGCTGGCAGAGCGGATTCACTGGCATTAGAGACACCCTACCAGGGAGTGGGGTCAGGGCACTGGGGTGACCATTTTTCCTGGGTCCCCCAATTGGCTAGAGTCCCTGGGCACGGGCTCAATGGCTAATCAGCCACTGGGAAGGGGTCTCTGCTGGAGCTTTCAGGAGGGCCCTGACGCGGACTCTCCACACACCAAGCGCAATGGTCTGAGGTCTGCTCTGCACTACAGCCCCGCACCGGTCTGACCCCCCCCCTCGGGGTGAGACAGAGCCACGTCCCCGAGTGACTGTGATGATACCGACCCCCCCTGACAGCCAGCGCCGGCCGGGTGCGGGAGCTTCTCCCGGGGCAGGGG